GTGTGTGTGTGTGTGTGTGTGTGTGTGTGTGTGTGTGTGTGTGTGTGCGTGTGTGTGCGTGTGTATGCGTGTGTATGTGTGTGTGTGTGTGTGTCTTTGTGTGTCTGTGTGTCTATGTGTGTGTTTGTGTATGTCTGTGTGTGTTTGTGTCTGTGTATGTGTGTGTCTGTGTATGTGTGTGTGTGTGTGTGTGTGTGTGTGTCTTTGTGTGTCTGTGTGTCTATGTGTCTATGTGTGTGTTTGTGTATGTCTGTGTGTGTGTGTGTCTGTGTGTGTGTGTGTCTGTGCGTGTGTGTCTGTGCGTGTGTCTGTCTGTGTGTATAGATAGGAACTTTACGGAGTATTTATAGGATAGTAGGTATTTATAGTAAATTTGATAGAATATTCTAGAAGGAGAAAAGTAGGAGTGCGGACGAAGACACTGGTTTATAGAAATTTATAGAAATACGTAGAATTAAAGGTAAAACAAAATATTAGTATGAGAATGCATGCACAGAACAATAACGTTTAGATTGAAAGGAAACAAAGGTATGCTTAAGATAAGAAGTCGAAAAGCATGGAAATAATATTTGAAGTGATACAAAAATAAATTTAAAAGAATTTTAAAGAAAGCTTATGAATTGGTATTAAATATTTACAAAAAATATACATTTTTCCGCCACACTAAGTTTCATGAGTGTCATACATCTACATCCTTGAAAATAAATTTAGTATCCTTCACCTGTTCTGTCACATAAGTATCATTAAATTGGCAAGTACGTTTCGAACTTGTATAGTTATTTTGGAAATTATAGGTACTCTACTTTTAAGTACTAATAATAATTCATAATGAATACGAAGCTGTTGAAAACGTTTTCGACAAACTTATTAGCAACTGTGAAGTATATTCCGTTAAATTTCAGAAAACACCAAAACGGCAATGCAAATCTAAACTTATGCGAAAAGTGTTAGGCCATTATTTAAAACAAAGTTGCAATTAGGCTACTTCAAGTTAACCTTTCGGTCTTCTAATTAATTCCAATTAGCAACGTTTTAGTGGTTATTAAATAAATTAACTGGAAAGTAATTTGCAGGTAACCCTAATTAATTTGCGCGGATATTTTCTGACCCCATTGTCAAAATTAAACTTGCCATAGGATTGCCGGCAACATTCTTGTTGAAATTTCCTGAAACATGCCTTCATCAGATATTTAGTTGTCTAAATATTTCACAGTTGGTTTAGGAGGCAAGTATTTTAATAAAGACAGAGTTTACAAGCAGGTATGTTTTGATTGTGAATTCTGGAATTTACATTTGTGTATCTTCATGTAGGTATGTATTAAAAAAATAGGAAATTTTAATCCTGAAACGTCACACGTTGATGCTACTTATCTATCTATTGTCATTATTAGGATGGGCTATAAAGGGTTGTTGATTACAAGGACGTCGAAAACTAGAAACTTACAGTATAGAAGGTTGAACTTATTAATATTATTTGTAAGCGCTTTGTCAAACGGGAGCTTTTGCATGTTTCGTTCCGATATGCTGCTAAGACAGGTGGATTGGCACTTCCTCTGACATATTATAGTGAAAAATTCGGAGGATAAAGTGGAAGACCTTTTCGGTTTCTTTTTAGGAACTGTGGGAGTGAAAACGGATGGGGTTTGGGACAAGAAGACAAAACGGATGAAATGAAAGAAAAAAAGAAGTGAACGATTATCTGTGAGTTCTTAGGTACCAAATACTGGTATTGATAAGCTTCTTATCATTTTTGATTGACATGTGAGTCGGTCAGATTTAGAAAAGGTTCTATATTTTGTCAGTTTATTAATTCTATGGCTTTCAGAATGGTATCCCGAGATAAAAATGTTCAGTCTCTCAGAGTTTCTGAAAGCGAGACTCCAGTCTCCGTCTCTCATCGAGTCTCTCTGTTGTCGCTGAAAGAGACTGTCGAGAGACTGTCAAAAAAAACTATTTAGTGTCTCTGAACGAGAGACTCGAGTCGCTCATAGAGAGATCCTCATTTCGTATCCAGTCTCTGAACGAGAGACTCGAATCTCTGAACGAGAGACTCGAGTCGCTCATAGAGAGATCCTCGTTTCGTATTCAGTCTCTAAACGAGAGACTCGAATCTCTGAATTAACAATTTTATCGTTCGAGTCTCTCATACAGAGACTGTGAGAGATCTCTAAAAACCCCTAGGCAATAACTGAGAGACTCTGAGAGACTGGAGAGAGATTGAAAATTTTTGTCCAGGGATAGGCTTCGCCTGTGAATATAGTGAATCTGTAAATAATCTTTAGTAATTTGTTTTTCTTCTATTATCAGAGTACATCCTGCTCCTTCCTCGCTCTTGGAGCCATTAGAAAAGATTTTTCTTTTGTTTGCACTAACCACGGCTGCAGTCATACATGTTTAATTTCAAATACATTGTAAATACAAAATAAACGTATCTACTCTGTGGATTTGCAGAGATGTATCTGTTAATTTGGCGAATAAGTAATTTTGGGACAAATTAACGGTAGCAATTAGTCTATCCTTCAAAAGGAGATGTATTATGAAATTATCCGCTGAGACACAATGATTAATAGTTGTTGGTTTCATTTATCCGTATTTCACATTAGGTACCAGGTCGTAGCGGGAAGGTATATCGTAGTGATTTGTATCAATCAATCTGTTTACGTCTTAGTACAATAGTACAGCCTAAAATAAACATTACGACATGGAAACAATTCAATTAGTTTACAATAACAAATTAAATTACTGTTAATCTAAATACAGGTAGAGCTTTTATTCAAATTTGCGTTCCATCCCAAATATATCTTCTAAAGCTTTCATTTAGATGGTTTTTACTAGTGATATATAAGGAAGGGAATATTTCATGCAATGTAGTAATTTAAAAAAGTAATTTCTTAAATTTTCTTTCTTATAACTTCAAAAGTAGGTAAAGAGCGAATATAAAGGTAGGAGACGAAAAATTAGAAGAAGTGGCAGATTTTAGGTACCTAGGAAGTCAGATAAGTCAGGACGGAAGGAGTAGTAGGTAGCGATATAAAGCAGAGGATAGCGCAGAGTCGAGTCGGCTTCAATAAAATGAACTCACTTCTATGCTCGCTAACGGTTAATTTAGAAATCCGAAAAAGGTTGTTAAAGGTGTATGTTTGGAGCGCGGCGCTATACGGGTGCGAAACATGGACGGTGGGCGCTGCGGAAAAGAAAAGAAGCGTTCAAAATGTGGTGTTATAGACTAATGATGAAGATACCGTAGATAGAGAAGGTTAGAAATGAAGGGGTATTAGAAAGAATAGGAAAACAGAGGACTCTATGGAAGTCAATAAGTAATAGGCGAACTAGGTTAGTAGGACACCTTCTCAGACATGAAGGTCTAGTCAGAGAAATGGGAGTTAGGAAGGGTAGAGGTAGGTCTAGATTAGATTAGTGTTCTCAAATAGTTAAGGATGTGGTTTGTTCTAGTTTTAGGGATATGCGAAGATTCACTCAGGATAAGAAAGAGTGGAGGTGCGTGTCCAATCAGTCTTAGGACTGATGACCTTATGATGATTATTACGATACGATATATTACCTACCTACCTACTTTCCTATCTACTTTGTTGTTTAATGAATACGTGAAATAAAACTTTTTTTCGTGCCACTAATTTTTTTTTGTTTTTGACTTTCCTTACAGAGTTTTTCCACTTGAAACAAACGTTACTGAAGTTTTCCTTCAAAACTAACTTGTTAACAATGCCAACTTTAATCCCATTTTTCTTCTGCAACCCTAAAAATGTGAACATTTTTAATGCTTCTTGAAGTCTGGAAGTTTACATAAAGTTTTGCGTACCGAATTTAGTTAAGTACGGCGTTGATACTGTTATTAGTTGGAAATCCGATTAAAATTTAGAAAAGACTCTTATTAGATTTAAAGTACGCGACGTCCCACGATTGTTTCGCTAATAAATCGAGTCCCAGATGTTTACTGGTTTCTTTAATTTTCTTGATTTAATGCTACTGCCAGCTGCAAGATATCTTTCTTAATATGTGTATAAACATCGTTTTATTTCACCGTACATTTTACCTAAATTACTTACTGTTTAAATTATATTTTTAAACCAAAAGCAATTACTGAACGGTGTAAATTGTCGAGATTATGGAATAAGAATTTTAATGAAAAATTTTTACAATTAAAAGTTTAACGTTTTTGGTTAATATTCTGCCAAAATGTCAAATTGCTAGACGTGAATCGCCATTTCGAACTCTGGTTATCTGAACAGTTGGTAGTCTGCCTGATGCCAATTAATAGTGTTCAAAGAAAGCAGTTTTTGTAAAAAAAACTGTAAATTCAAAAAATTGTCTTTTCGATGTCAATAATAAAACCACATAAGATTTTTATATTTGTCATATCTAAATAAATTTCTGTATTGAAATATTGTTTTGTAGAACCCTAGATAAAAATGTTCAGTCTCTCAGAGTCTCTGAAAGCTAGACTCGAGTCTCCGTTTCTCATCGAGTCTCTCTGGTGTCGCTGAGAGAGACTGTCAAAACAAGTGTTTAGCGTTTTTGAACGAGAGACTCGAGTCGCTCATAGAGAGATCCTCATTTCGTATCCAGTCTCTGAACGAGCGGCTCATTCCGAGAGACTCGAGTCGCTCATAGAGAGATCCTCATTTCGTATCCATTTCTGAACAAGAGACTCGAATCTCTGAACGAGCCACTCGAATCTCTGAATTAACAATTTTATCGTTCAATACAGAGACTGTGAGAGACCCATAAAAACACCTACGCAATAACTGAGAGACTGTGAAAGACTGTGGGAGACGCTCTCAGAGGCGCTGAAAGACTCTGAGAGACTGGAGGGAGACTGAAAATTATTGTCTAGGGAAGTTTCATTATCTTTTAATCACTGCATTGAAGTGAATTGAAAATAGCATAAATTCATTCATTGTTGTTTCCGTATCAATTGCTTTTCATCAAGTTCCTTGAAAATTCGGATTCATTACCTAATCCTGAGAGAGAGTGAAATTCGTACAGTAGGCAATTATCCTTAACATAACAACTTCTCCTTTGTAGTAATGAAAATGTGTAGCTGGTGATGTTGTAATCACGAATTCTAATTAAAAGTGAAATCATAATTTATTCGCCAGATTAACGATTTTGCTTAAGCATAATGTAACAAATCTATTAGAGAAAGCCGTTATTTACCTAGAGAATGCCATCACATCTGGTCTCAGAGGGAATGTCACCACGTTCAAGAAACTATCTTACTCGTTGAAAGGGCGAGAATAAAGTGACTGGATAAGTAGGGACGAGTGTTTAATTAAAGCTCGTCTTCTTGCTTAAGGTGCTCTTTAGAAGAAATTTACGGCAGTGTATAACGTGTGCAGCGCATTATCCACCTAAATTACCAGAGTGAGCATATTCTGATGTTCTTAAGTTCGTTGCGAGTTAAAAGGCACCAAATGGAAACTTAAATCTGTGGACTTAAGAACTTTCCATCGTAACTTTACTTGTTCAATCTTTTGTTTGAAGTCACCATTATTAAAATCCGAGCTGAAACTAACTTTAGCTTAACCTGTTATAAATACTGACCTTTATTACAACAACTGACTATTTCAGAAATTCTTAGGATTTAATGCATATTTGGTTTTGTAGGCAATCGAAATCCCAGAAGAATCCTTTTTCAAAAATTATTTTCTATTTTAGCTTTAAATAAAATGGAAGCGGGTCCTGACCGATCAGTACTGTATAAAAATGAATAAAAGTAAAACTAAAATACTGGTATGCAAGGGAAGAAAAAGTAGGGAAAGAGCGAATATAAAGATAGGAGACGAAAAATTAGAAGAAGTGGCTGATTTTAGATACCTAGGAAGTC